TCCATTGTTTTGACCTGAGATAAGATTCTTGAAAGATCTTACCATCGCATGAGATTTCCTATAATCTTATAGTGATATCTTACAAGCTAGTAAGATCTTTCAAGAATCTTATAATACGATATAAAATAAGATCTCTAAGACTGCGATTTTTCGTACACTTTTTCATACAGTTTCGTTTGGCCCACAAGATCTTATATCTGATTTTTTGACCTGAGTTGATACAAGTTGAAAAAAATTTAGTGAAATCTCACCGGCATACTCTATGCAAATGCTTAAGAGATACTTCGGCAGATCTGCATTCATCATTTAGAAAATGATGCGAAAAGCATCCTCAAAGATACATACTGAATCCTTAAGGTTCTACAAAACCATACAAAATTACGTTTGACATTTGTTGTTCAACATGCTCCTAACAAGATATAGATAGAATCGTCTCAGAATTTTCTCAATTTAGGAGTTTCACATAGTTTATTATTTAATTACTTAAATTCTTCTCTGATATTCATATAAATGATCATTCTGCCAAAAAGATTCTGAATTCTTGCAATTCTGAAAAAAATCCTCAGATCTCTATGTTTTTCTATCAAAAACTTACATGGAATTAGTATTACTCTTTCTTCGAGAACCTCCTTACAGCAATCTCCAGGTGTTATTTTTATGATCAAAAAGATCTTGGCAAGAACTAGAAGTAACATAGATGTAAGAATCGTTATCAAATCCTTTTTTTCTCATAAGAAACTAGGAAAATACTTCTGACTTTTTATCTGTGGAACGAGCATTCTCAAAGATGAATGTCATATTTTGTAGCGCTTACTCCCACAAAAGATGAGATCCCTTCGATAGCGACGATTTCTTTTCTTTTTTGTTCATTGTAGTAATTCCTAATATTCCAGTTGGTGCCCGATGGAAACAGAATGGAGTGACCGTTGCTGGAGGCCATGGAGAAGGCAATGCTACCAATCAACTCTATAACCCTCATGGTCTCTTCCTTGATGATGATCAAACGATAGTCATCACTGACCATTGGAATCATCGTATCATCCAATGGAAGATGGGTGATACGAATGGACAAGTAGTAGCTGGTGGTAATGGCGAAGGAAATCGATTGGATCAATTGTATCGACCAACCGATGTATTGATCGACAAAGAGACGGATAGTCTCATTATTTGTGATTGGGGGAATCGACGAGTCGTACGATGGTCTCGTCGTAGTGGGACAACTCAAGGAGAAATCCTCATCGACAATATCGCTTGTGAAAGACTGGCCATGGATTATCAGAGATATCTCTACATCTCTGACAGCGACAAACATGAAGTAAGCCGATATCAAATAGGAGACAAGAATGGAACTCCTGTAGCTGGTGGAAATGGCAAAGGTGCTGGTCTCAATCAACTCAACCATCCGACCTACATCTTTGTCGATCAACAAGAGACTGTCTACGTGACAGACCAAAACAATCATCGTGTAATGAAATGGAATAAAGGTGCAAAAGAAGGAATTGTCGTCGCTGGAGGTCAAGGCCAAGGGAATGCTCTGACACAATTGTCGTATCCTGAAGGACTATTCGTCGATACATTGGGTACCATCTATGTGGCAGACTCGTGGAATCATCGAGTGATGCGTTGGCCTAAAGGAGCGGAACAGGGCACTGTCATTGTGGGTGGAAATGGCCAGTTGAGTGTTCCTGTCGGTTTGTCCTTCGATCGACATGGTAATCTCTATGTCGTCGATCATGGGAATTCTCGTGTTCAACGCTTTTCAATCGAATAGACTCGTCGTGATAGATTTTTATTGCGTTCCTTTCGTTTCAAATAAATCGCATTAGATTGATGAAATGAATGGCTTATTCTATTCGCGCGCGCGCGACCAGGAACCATCCTGGTGGAGCCGTGGCGAGCGTAACGCTCATGCACGCACAGGACAGACTCATATCATTCATACCGTCCCCGCGAGAGATATGTCAATGAGTCTGAATAAGCCTGATCGTGTGCCACGGACACCAAGACAGTTCCTGGCCGAGCTTTTAGGGACTACCCGGAAGTCCTTCATAAGAGACGAAACCCTCAACGGACAGAACTCACCCTCGTCTCTCACTAATACTCACTTTTCTGAGTCTCATCCTCACCCTCCTCAATCTCAATATCATTATCTAACCTCATCCCCCCTCTCACCCTATCCTCTTTCTCAAAAAAGAAAAAAAAAATACTTACTCACTCTGTTTTGATGTTGGACGACGATGTTGTTATTGAGGACGCGACGCGATGAGAGACTAAAAAGAAAAAGAAAAAATTTTATTTAATCATATATGTTTAGAAAAGAAGAGAATAACTTGCCCTACTGTTATCCCTCCTAGTGACTTTTCATTACCTAAAATTAGAAAAAAGAATACATTAAATAAAAAATTTCTACTTACTTTAATTTATCCAACTGGACCTAAAATAAAAGAAAAAAAAATACTAATTAAAAAAGTTTTTATTTACTTCGATTATTTAATAGCTAAAATAAAAAAACAAAACATAAAATAGATCAATGGAAGACTTACCACTCTCCATATGATCTAAAAGAAAAAAAAAGAAAATTAAAACTAATACCTACACTTTTTTTATTGTATTGTACTGTATTGTGTTGTATTGTTTTGTATCGTCGATATTGATCTAAAACATAAAGAAAAATTTTTATTATTTGATTCAATAAATTGAATGATTTTACATAGAAAATCATTTGTATATATACTCTCCCCAAAAAAGTTATTGGGAGAAAAATTCAATTATTTTTTTTTAGTGTGTGATTAATAGACGTATATAATTAAGCTTTAATCTAGACACACACATATATTGAGATAAATTCATTCACAAATATCTCAATGTATATGTGTGGATAAAGCTTAATTTTTTCACACTTTAATTTAACATATTATCGTTGATTATCAATGATAACATGAACAATGGCTTATGGGCGAGAGAAGAAAAAAAGAAAATTCCTCACTTGACCTGTTTCTTTTTTCTTTCCTCTCTCTCTCTCACATGTTCAGTGGATGTACAGAGTAGACGAACATACATTCACATGTAAGGTATGTTGTCATATGATATGTTGTTTTTATTTTAAATATATTTCTTTTTTTTATTTGAAGGAGGAATTACATATTTTGTTTCACCGGTTCTGCTTGTTAAAATCACTGATTCCAATCATTACTTGAAGATTATTTGGTATATGAATGTTTTAGTGATGAACAACAAATAATATATACATTAACCGGAACAAAAATTTTATTATCTCAACGTCTATGACATCGTTCGATTGTAAATTCGTTTGCTGATTGTTTATTTTAATATTTAAAAAAAATGAGGATATTTATAGAATTAGATCTGAACTTCTTTTATCATGTACAGGAAAAAAAAGGCTATCTCTATATTAAGAAGAAATCGACCTTCATACTATCAACATTTATCTTCAATCGTCATGTATTTTGTTGAATAATTTTTTTTCTTGTTATATAGACAGAGGTCAGTGATTTTATTTATTATCTTGATGGATCTATTTGAAAAAAATTAACGTGGTCAAGTAACACATGTTATTTCATATGGAAATATCTGTGAAAAATATCTTGTAAGGAATTTTCTGTTTTCTTACTCGACATTAACATATACAATGATTTGTTTATAAATTTTTTAGACAGCGTTTTATATGGAACGAAATGAAATTTAAATA